GGGGGGAAGCCAAAAAACAAACAACCCCCCAAGAACCATCAGAAATGGGGGTAAAACCCCAAAAAGCAACCAAACCCCCAAGACCCATCGGAAATGGGGAAAACAGCCAAAAACAAACAAACACCCCAAGACTCATTGGAAATGGGGGAAAAACACTCCAAAAAAGCAACAAAACCCCCCAAGACCCATCAGAAATGGGGGGAAGAAACAAAAAACAAACAAACCCCCAAGACCCATCACAGCACAGAAACATAACCCTCCCAGCTCAAAACCATCCTGCAAAAACACCCAGAAACGTTTTTAAAAAGCAGAAAGCAGCACCTTACCTTACCAGGCAGCCCGAAGCCTCACTACAAACACACATACTCTCTCTCAGAAGCAGACGGAGGCAGTCCCGAGCCTCCTCCGACGCACAGTGTCTAATTGCTGGGGCAAAAGCGCTACAAAGAAGCAGCCTTGTCGCCATCTACAGTTAGAAATTTGAATTTCCTGCCTTTCCCCCCGTGCCTTGTTTATTTGTTTGTTTGTTTGTTTATTTATTTATTTATTCTATTTGTACCCTGCCTATCTGGTCAAAACGACCACTCTAGGCGGCTGTTCGTTTTTCTGTTTATAAGTGGAAGCTCCGGTCGCAAGTAGAAGCAAAATTTTGTGGCCGGAGCTTGTCGTAACTTGAAATGGTCGTTAAGTAGGGACGTTCGTAAGTCGAGGCACCACTGTAATGGTAAAGCATCTGCTCTGTGTGTGGAAGGATTTGTGTTCTGGTCCTGGCATCCAAATAGGGTTGGAACCTTGGAAAACCACTGCTGGTAAAAGTGAATGCAGGATAGGCAGAAGATATATTTCTGATTTATTTGCTGCAAGAGTTTCTGAACTTTTAAACAATTACAAAAGCTATTTCCCTGCCAAGTGAAGAATGCTTGAGGATAAGAATTGGGTTTATGGATGGAAGAATTGTGAGCTCAATTCTGGTACTGTACTCAGATCAGTTTCTTGGGATGAGCTGACAGACAACCTGATCCTTAGCTAATAATTATCAGATCACCACTTCTAGTCATTATTTCCTTATGCCACTGTTTCTTATTTGTGTCTGGTGGGTGGATTTTGTGATTCCAAGGAAAAACAAAAATAGTGTTCATTGGTCTTGTTGAGTTGTGCTGTGTAACCTATCAGTCATAAAAAGTTCAATTTACCTCCAAGGCCCAGTTTAGTTCCATGGAAAAACTGTTGATCTTGGAGCAGAAATCTCTAATTGTTTCATAATTAAATGGCATTGGGGACCTTAAAATTACAATCAATCTTTTGTTACTATGTTGCAAGGGATGCTCACTGTGATAAGAGAAATCCTGTGTAACCTTGTAGCGCTCTTGCCCATCTTTCCTCTAGTATTCCTTTTCTTTCTGTCTTCCAGTCCTCTTTTTCAATTCTTTGAATAGTCCTATTCTATTTGTGCTGCTACAGATTCTCTGTTTCCTTTCGTTCTTATCTTCCCAAATATTCCTGAGCACAATCGAAGGAGGAAATGAATGGTTCATCAAATGTTTAAATCACAGGAGAATATAGTAGACAGTGTTCTACTTGTTCCAAAATGCTGGAAATTTTGCTTGCTCTTTTATGCACAATTTTTGAAACAAAAATAAATATGAACCCACTGTCCTAAAAATGCTGCATGGTGGTCCTGTTGGGCAACTCAAAAATTAGGCTTTTCAAAAATTACTGGATGAAGACTCCATCTAAGGTGAGGTAAGTAGCAACTAGAACAAAGGCTTTTTGGGTAGAGAGTTATCATTTATACAATTTCCTCTTGAGAGAGACTACCATGTTATCTTTTTCATTGTTAAGCCACAGCATTTTTCATTCTCCTGTTTCATAGTTTCAAGCTTAACTTTAAGTTACTACTTCCTGTTGTGTTGTGTTTGTTTTTGTGCTCATTCTGTTTTAATGCAATTTGATTTTGAACTGCTGTGAAAACCATTCAAATACATAAGTGCATGAAATAAATGAGCAAGGTCTACAGAATAAAGCATCCATACAGTTTGAGAAGATATGAAAGGAATATGAATGCCTTATTTTAGCAAATGCCTCCTGGATTCTTCAACAGCAGATCTTACCTCTTGTTACAAGGATGACAAAAAAAGGATGGAGAGCCAGCTGTGTATATTGTTCTTCTCTTAGCACAAATAACACAACTATCAAATGCTGAAATAAAATGCTTTTCAGTTTCCCATTAAAATCTCGGTGATGCAGAGAATCGTTCATGGTGATTTTCTGCTATGACTGATTCATAAAGCCATGTCATCACTTGGTGCCAGTCATCTGGTGATAAGCATGCATATATAAATAGTACATGTCTGTAGGAAATAGTAAATTCATAGAATAATGTTCTCATACTATTCTGGGGCCCTGTCACCTGGAAATAAACAACAAATACAAATACCATTCAGATCTTTTCACAAGGCTATGTACCATTGATACTTTCTACTGTCCAAGAGCATAAATATGAATAGTATTTTATTACTCAGCAGTGGACTGGTTGATTTTCTAAAATGAAAGAATGCTGTTGAAATAACTTTTGTTCCTGTGTTGGTTTATGCTGTCATATTCACTGTTTTTTTGTTTTGTAGATATATTTACGGTTCTTGGACTATGAAATGCAGAATTCTAATGAATGCAAAAGGAATTTTGTGGCTGTCTATGATGGAAGTAGCTCAGTGGAGGATTTAAAAGCTAAGTTTTGCAGCACTGTTGCTAATGATGTGATGCTGCGCACAGGTCTTGGAGTAATCCGCATGTGGGCAGATGAAGGCAGTCGAAGCAGTCGATTCCAGATGCTCTTCACATCTTTCCAAGAACGTAAGACTATCAGAATGTTGAGTGATTCAAGTTTCATAAAACATTAACAATGCTTCCTTGATACAGATCAATCTGCAAGAAAATATGAAATAACAAAGTACAATTAGATTTTTTTTTTTTAATGTAGGAGATTCAAACCAGTTTTCCCCAGATGCAGTATCTGTACATTAAGGGACCTCCATGTGTCGTCCAGGAGCCTTGATTTCCCTTCTTGGCATGCAGAGGCATGATGATCAGTATATTAACTCCTAACACAACCTGAGGCCTGTGCATGTAACAACCACAGGAGGCTCCTTACTGAAACTGAGGTATTCCCTGAGTTTGGAATGAGTCGTCCCTCTCTGCTTATTCCATGAGTCACCCCCTAGCAATAACCTATGTATATCTTCATTCATCTGTTGCATCAGACAGTATGGAAACTGTACAGCATTGCTATGATGTTATTTTAAATAGCAGTTTGGGTATCGTTAGAAGAATTGATTCTAGTTGCTTAAGCTGAAGATGATAAACTTAATGTTTTGTTTTCATTATGTGAAAATAACAACTTTACCCAAACACAGACTTATACACCCTGAAATTAATAGTCTTAACAAAACACTGAATTGTAGCCATTACTGGATATCAGAAATGCAAATTTGGAAGGTAGCTTTAGATGCAGTTGTAGTTAACAAAGTATGTTCTGTAGCTGATGAACGTTCTGTTCTAGTCTACTAGCTAGTTAGCATTCAACTAGATTTATTCCCAAGTTAGTATGCAGCCATAAAATCCATTTCAGTGCTCGATTAATGAGGACATATGTCTAGGGATATTAAGGATTCTCACTAAATTTCTTACTCTTTGCTAAGACAAGTTGTCAGGACAACCTTTTGAGGAATGGCTCACCTTAAGGAGTTTATTAAAGATTGTAAAAATAGGGACAAACTGTGTTTTTGCATGAAACAATCTGCACAGAACCGGTGTTCTCTTTATGAAGATAATCACACATACACAACAAGGACAGAAGGACTGGGTGGTTAATTCAAAATGAGCTTCTTTTTTTTAAGAGTCCATGTAGTCAAGACGAACCCAAACTCACCTGTGGCCAGAGCAGCAGCCTGGCCTCCCTTGCTCCCTTGTGGCTTTGTAATGGCAGCTGCCACATGGCAGGCCACGAGAGACCCTGAAAGGTCGTGCTGGCAGCCAGGGATTGGCTGGTGTGACTGGGGGTGGGGCCTGACAACCCCCCCCCGATAAACGGGCTCTCCCGGGCCAGGGTTTATGGAAACCTCCCCACCCATCCCATGCTTGCTACAGGTTAAAAGATGTAGAGGTTAATAACGGTTTAAATGGATTATTTGTTATTTCTACCGATTTTGTATCCATGTCACAACTTTGCTGGTAGATTGGGAGCATTGGGAAGGGATCCGGTGGATGATAGAGGGCAGGCGGGTCTTGCCTGCTGCTATCACTGATAGCAGCAGGCAAGGGGACCAGGGCTGCCCCAGCTCGTGTGTGTGTGTGTGTGTGTGTGTGTGTGTGTGTGTGTGTGTCAGGGCCTTGCCCTTGGGTGACAGGGAGCCATGGAGTGGCATGCACCCTTGTGGCCTCTGAGGACCTGCCACCCTGGGTCACTTCCCAGAGGGGTCTGGGAAGTAGATGCTACCTCAGTGATGCACCCGGGCCTCCCGATGGAAACAAATCTGACCCCAGTGCTTAGCCAGGGGAACTGTGGCTGTAATTCAGTCAATAAAGTTGTGGTCTTTTACTTCTAGTTTATAGTGTGCAGTGTGTTTACTGTCTGTGGGAGATACCTGGCCTGCTTAGCCATAGGTCCACAACATCGTCTTTTGTCAAGACTAACAAGAGCTGTTTTGCAAAGCAGCCCTAAACATGGTTATTCAAAAGTAAGCTCCATTGTTCTGAACATATGTCATTCTTGTGTACGTAGGCACAGTGTTTCAGCAGCAACCCTGCACCTACTTTCTTAGCCATTCCCATTGATCTCCAAATTGCTTCTAAATACAGTAGATGAGTCTAGGATTGAGCTAATCTAAACACAGTTACTTCAGCACCTAAAAAGTATACACCCTACTGAACACAGTGGCACTTACTGCCAAGACAAACAAAGGATTTTACAATTAATCAACTTCTTCAGCTTAGTAATCGGAATTTGGATCAGTTTAGATTACAATAAATCAGTGGTAGGGAACATGTGACTGTCCTGATGTTGTGGGAATAAAGCTCCTTTCAGCCCCTGCCAGCATACTGAATGATGAGAAACTGTGGGAGGAGCAATCCAGCAGTATCTGGATGCGCACAAATAGCCCACTCTGTTCCAAAGGATGAGATAATTAAAACTTGTTTATAAATGTCAGCTGGTTGAGAAAGCCTTAAGGAAAGCTACTAGTGTGTGTGTGGGGGGGAACACTTTATGTGTCATCTCAGTCACTGAAAAGGAATATGATAGGTTTTGTTTTGCCTTGGGTTTTTAAGAAGGGATTTTCTTCTGTATTTCCATTGAAAAGGAATATGATAGGTTTTGATTTGCCTTGTTTTTTTTAAGAAGGGATTTTCTTCTGTATTTCATGATGCTATATGCCAGGCCTTTGGTGGCCACAATCCAGTCAAGTGTACTTAAATTTATCAGTGGGGAGGGCTGGATAACCAATGTTCAAATGATAGGGTTACTAAGTATGCAGAGGTACAATAAGAATGAAATATCATTCTTAGAGGTCAAACAATAATATTAATAATTAATTTCCTTTTCTGGAAGGAAATAAATCAACTTTAGGCCTGTATTGCCAATCAGACTGAAAGAGAGCAATTATTACTCTTTGGTTGGAGGTAGAAGACTGGAAGAATTTCTGTATGGCTGTGGATTAACCAGAAAAATGGTTTTCCACTAGACGGGCAATATAAGAATGCAATTAATTAAAATTTTAATTAATTAGTTAGTTATGAAAATTGAAGTGATGAATTAAAATCAAGTGTGCAAATAATACATTTTGTTTTAATATTGTGTCTCTGTGTGTGTGTGTGTGTGTGTATCTGTGTATCTGCAGTTTTACCTGTGTGTGTGTGTGTGTGTGTGTGGTCTCTCTCTGTGTGTGTGTATCTGTGCATCTGCACTTGTACCTGTATGTGTGTGTGTGTGTGTTGACGGGGATGTCTTTTCCTTCCACCATCTTGCCAAATGTAAATTATGGACTAGAATTCTAGTACTTGTGCACCCTGTCTAAGTCAAATGATATAAATCACAGCAGCAGGTAGGTAAGGCATTGAGGCTTTTATTCTTTGAAGTGTGCCAAGCCGCAGATCAGTTGTACGTTAAAGAATAAAACCTTCAGTCCTTTAACTAGTAGTGACGTACTGCTGTTATATGTGCCCTTTGTTTTACACTACCATGTGGATGTAACAGGATTGGGGCTTACATTGTCAAGGTGGTACCTATCAGACTGAGTATGTTGAATTGCAGTGCAGGAAAGCAAGTGAATGGGAGCAGCTGCATCTTTCAGAAATCTAGTTTGAAAGCTGGCTTGTGTGTAAATAAATGATTGGCGTGCAATTTTGTCTGGTCGTCTAGATATGACTCAGAGAAAGTCACTGAGGATGTGTGTTTGGGGCATCTTGTTTGTTTAATTTGGGATAAATAAAGCAAAATTCTAATGCATTCCACTGGATAGAAAGTGTGTTTCTTCCCGTCCTCAAATGTTACTGCTTCAAAGGTAATTTATGCTTCCCTTGTTCATAAATCAAGCTGGTCTCAGAGATAATGCTCCATATTACTCTGATGCCATTGCTACTTGCTTGCTTCTGATGTTAAAACAGTCTTGAATATTCAGAGCTGGATTCATTTAAATTGAAGGCATTGCATTCTGTTACCTTAGAAACAAGAGGTGCAGGATCTGGGGATTCACTGCTTATGAAGAACTGAAAAAAGGACATGTGGTCACTGACTTGTGTTTGGAATGTGAGTGAAGATATGCTTAGAGGGTTTTAAAATTCAAATGGAAGCATGGAAATCTGTTTGTTTTTTGTTTTACTAGAGACAGCTTCCAAGCCTCTGAGTTCCTCACCTATATCTTCTGTTGCTTCCACTACATTGTAACTTTGTCTGATAATACATGGTTACACCAAATGTTTGTCATTAAGTGTTGAGCACTGTTTTGGTGATCACTAGTCGAGAAGTTTATTTGTCAATAATAGTTTAGATCCATATAATAGCTCAGCTACAGTGCCATATCACTGTCCAGTTATACTATAAGATAAACGTGTTGCCCTTCCTCAACAACAGTGGGATCTAAATGCGTATTTTGGACTGAATGATTGCATGATGGCATTAGCTGTTTGTTGGACAGGGCATTATGTATTGAGCATGAATGCAGAGCAATGGTAACAAATAATTATTGAGCCAACTGTGAAAAACCTTAAAAGAGCAACTAAAGCATCTGCACAAAATTTCTGCTTCTCAAGGCACACATTCTGCAGGGCACAGAAATAAGATGTATCAATATTCTACAGTGTATGAAAGGGGGGGAGGGGAGAGATAGAGAGATATTTAGTCCCAAGGAAAACAAAATGGAAATTCAGCAGCAGAGACAAATGGCATTTCACTGTGCAATAAATCATCTTCATTAATCGTTTTTAGTTGAGCTCATATACTTAGATGGAGGGGAAAGTGTATTGTGACAAAATAAAGAAGCAGAATCGCAAGCATGGTTATTATTATTTGTTATCATGATCATTATCCTAAAACGTTTTGCATCCTGTTTTTCCCATAGTAATATCAGTGTGCCACTGTTACACTTTGAGAAGTGAGTCCCAGAGGTAATGCTTACTGCAACATTGTTTTCCGAATGGTCTGAAGAAGTTTCATTGTGACCCGAAATGAGTCAGTAAAGTATTGGGAGATGCTGCTGACTGAGAGGGAGATGGATACAATCCAGTAACAGTGGTGTAAAAGTTGATTTATGTATCTAAGCATGCCCTTGCTTTCCTGACACCATATTTCCTCCTCTCTC